AATGAGATTATTGACCAGCTGCCACTCTCAGCCAACGAAATTAGTGATAAACTGACACTCTCAGCCAATGAGATTAATGACCAGCTGCCACTCTCAGCCAATGAGATTAATGACCAGCTGCCACTCTCAGCCAACGAGATTAGTGATCAACTGACACTCTCAACCAATGAGATTAATGACCAGCTGCCACTCTCAGCCAACGAGATTAGTGATCAGCTGACACTCTCAACCAATGAGATTAATGACCAGCTGCCACTCTCAGCCAATACGATTAATGACCAGCTGACACTCTCAGCCAACGAGATTAGTGATCAGTTGACACTCTCAGCCAACAAGATTAATGATCAGATGCCACTCTCAGCCAATGAGATTAATGACCAGCTGCCACTCTCAGCCAACGAGATTAGTGATCAGCTGACACTCTCAGCCAATGAGATTAATGACCAGCTGCCACTCTCAGCCAATGAGATTAGTGATCAACTGACACTCTCAGCCAATGAGATTAATGATAAACTGACACTCTCAGCCAACGAGATTAGTGACCAGCTGCCACTCTCAGCCAACGAAATTAGTGATCAGATGACACTCTCAGCCAATGAGATTAATGATAAGCGGACACTCTCAGCCAATGAGATTAATGATAAAATGACACTCTCAGCCAATGAGATTATTGACCAGCTGCCACTCTCAGCCAACGAAATTAGTGATCAGCTGACACTCTCAGCCAATGAGATTAATGACCAGCTGCCACTCTCAGCCAATGAGATTAATGACCAGCTGCCACTCTCAGCCAACGAGATTAGTGATCAACTGACACTCTCAGCCAATGAGATTAATGACCAGCTGCCACTCTCAGCCAACGAGATTAGTGATCAGCTGACACTCTCAACCAATGAGATTAATGACCAGCTGCCACTCTCAGCCAATACGATTAATGACCAGCTGACACTCTCAGCCAACGAGATTAGTGATCAGCTGACACTCTCAGCCAACGAGATTAATGATCAGATGCCACTCTCAGCCAATGAGATTAATGACCAGCTGCCACTCTCAGCCAACGAGATTAGTGATCAGCTGACACTCTCAGCCAATGAGATTAATGACCAGCTGCCACTCTCAGCCAATGAGATTAGTGATCAACTGACACTCTCAGCCAACGAGATTAATGGTCAGCTGCTTACCAGCCTCCTGCCCACAGACTATGGGCCCGGCAGGGAAACCTGTAAAAGACTATCAAACATGACCGACTGTTAGCACTGATTTACATGGAACTGTTTTGGGCATAAGGACCATGTGTACGGTCGGTCAAAACTATGACTTCCAGAAAATTCCTGAACTGATCTGGGTGATTTCTGGATATGTTGTTCACCCAGATCGGGGCTATATTATGGGGTTTTTGTGTGGGTTTCATAAAATTGTATGTTTTTCTGTGCTTGGAGATAATTAGGTTAGATTAGTACAGTTCCTGATTCAATTATCTCCCAAACACAAAGGAGGGATTCTATTGTTTGTGTTTGTGTCCCTGTGCCGAAAAAGGTCCATCTGGGTGTTGCCCTTGTTGGGAAACTTGCATAAAAGGCCAGTTATGGCTGCCATTAAAAGCTATTCCAGCTTACACTCCAAAACTGTGTGTTGTCCTGTTATTGGAGGGAAAGTAGTTTTACTCCTGTGTCTGCTGTTCCAGCTTGCAGGGGATTCAACGGGGAAAGTCCTTTTAAGGACAAGAGCTCCCAGGACTGAGTGTCGTCCAGTGCCTGGGGGTGTCTAGAGCTAATACCCCATTTGGCTCCAGGAGGGAGCAGTTCCAGGGCCCCAGTCAAGGAACGATGACTGTGCGCAGAAGTGCTGCAGTTTGTCCCCTGTTCCAGCTAGGAAGCGGTCCTTGGCGGAGGTAACCTGCCAGGGGTACAGGGAGCTCCGTTACACTGACACTCTCAGCCAATGAGATTAACGATCAGCTGACACTCTCAGCCAATGAGATTTACAATCAGCTGACACTCTCAGCCAATGAGATTAACAATCAGCTGACACTCTCAGCCTATGAGCTGACCCAAACTCAGGAAGAACAGAATCTTCTCTTAGGAGCTCTGGATCTCTAGCTGAAGTAGTGGTGGTGGGGGGTAGCACCTGGCAGACCCAGGTAAGAATTAAAACTGCAGAGAGTCCCGGGGCACTCCTGGCACCATAACCACTACAACACTAGAGGTCAGGGTGGCATTACTGAGCAGTGCTACTATGTTACTATTGTTACCATTATTCTACAAATCATTCGAGCTTCCAGTAATGGAGAGTCTGCCGGAGTGTGTAACCTCCTGAATATTTATTGTGTTATTGTACGGTAAGAAAGTTGTGGAATCTGGTCCCACATCCGCACAGCATATTTACGTCTTGCTATCACATGTGTTTGCAGCTTGTCTGATTTAATACACCAAGATGCCAGTTTCTAAGACACATTGGAAAATATTCTTCTCAGTCTCAGTCGACGCTCTCAGTCAGTCGGAAGATCATACAGACTGCGACTCGTATACAATATTTATATTGCAGTATATTTACTAAACAGTGAGTTATCTGTTAACCTGGGATCCACAGAGCTTAATTCAACGCGATTTGTCTGGGTTTACTGACTATAATAACTATATATCACTTCTATAACTCTGCAACAGCTACAGGGAAAGGGAGGGAGGTCGGGCAGTAATGGGGATACCAGGAGGGAGCATCACCCAAGACCTGAAATCACAGCAGAAATGCAGGGAGCGATGCAATCAGTACAGACTGATCCCGTCAGCAAACCATTAGACACCAGTGATCTAAATAAAAATCAGAAATGCGTGGGAGTGTATGGATGTGAGTATGTGTGAAAATTTGTGTGTGTGTTTGTAATTAACCAATCAAAATACTGTTAGGGGCATTGCAGAGAGACAACAATAGGGCAGGAGGGCAGCTAACATTTCCGCCCCAGGTGCCAGATAACTGAGGTACGTCTCTGTAACTATGTGCCAAAGGGCCCGGGAGCACACTGGGTATTTAGCAATGTAGGGAAATTTTAATGTAATTCTAAATTGTGGCCAGAGGGGGTGCTGCAGCCAGGACATTGAGAATGTAACTTATTTAGAAACAATTTTGCTATAAAGGATACGTTTGGATTCTTCACCACAATTCCTAAATTGCCCCCACTATTTGCACTATTTCTAGGGTTAGGGTTCCTAACATTAATTTAAAACCTTACCTTAACCCTAAATGTGCCTTTATCTGCCCTCCACGATTTCGGGTATTTCTTAGCGTTAGAATAAGAATTGAGTGAGGCTAACCATCAAATGGTTTTAAAACTGTTAAAATGTGAAAAATTCATTTGGAAAGAAAATTAGGTTTATGAACTAATTTAGCCTCGCTCAATTATTATTCTAACCCTGGGAAAAGTACAAACAGAGGGGGCAGATACAGGAAATCACCTGGCCTTTCGCCATCATGGTATAGTGTTAAGAAACCGCAGGACCACAGCATTTCATGATCCCTGGGTAAAATTATCTATAATAAAAGGAAGAAACACATACACAGACATTACATAGCCCACCGAAGGTTGGGTACCGAAGGCTGCCTACACCTGGTCTAGCCCATTAACAAAGTATGTCAAAGCACCTTTCTGGGCAGTGGATTTCACATGTTTACTGCTCTCACTGCTTACTCCCTATTCCTGAAATCATGATTAACTCCAGGGATAATGTCTGAGCTATACATTTCCATTATTTGTCAGATTAGTGAAAAACATTGCAGAATCCAATTAATTGAAGTTATTGCTGAAAATCCCCAGAATGCAGTGTGCTCCGGAGATGGGACAATTAGCACTGATTTACACATTGTTTGTAGCTCATATTGTAACCTTTGTCTCTCTGTTCCTGATCCAACCAGCTGCCATAAAGTATAATTTCTTTGTATATTTAATAAAAATGTTCCCACAGTGAGCATTCTGAATCATTTCCCCCAGAAGCCACACACTGGGAGATATTCGGTCGAAACCTCATGTTTCAAAGTCTTTTCAGGATACGGTCTGATGGTCTGTGCCCGCTGTTTGAAGCCCTCCTGAACGTGGAACAGCTGCTTAACTGAGTATTAAATGGTTCTCAGAACACTGTGGATGAAGCTGTGGGAACCATTTCTGTATGTGAAACTCTGGGATATTCCCGTCTGAGCCATTAAATCCATATGGTAATTCATTACTAAACAAAACAAATGTAAATCAAACACAGAAGGGCCTTATTCACTAAACTGTGAGTTGTGGCATATCGACCATGTGTCCATCAAATCTCCACAACTGAATAAGCGAAAAAGATATTAAGTAGCAACTTTCTCAATAAACCCCATTTAGTGTAATTCACAGTTACAGATACGTTTGTACAAATATCAGGAATAGTCTCGTTCTCTGTTAGCAATAAGAAATGACCTCTTTTTGTTTGCCATGTTTTTCAGTATCTGCAGGTCCCTACTAGCAGGCTGTGTGTGAAACAAAGGATAGCCTTACCTGCCATCCCACACTGAGACCAAGTTCTACCAGCAACCCTCTTCTGGTGACATCACACTCCATCATTGGTGAGGGAGGGATGTCCCAACTGACAGACTGAGGGAAAGGCTTGGGCTGCACCTGGGGAGGGGGGAGCATCACTGGATGTCAGTCACGATATACTACGTGTGCTCACAATAGATACTGATATGCTCCATGTGCCACAATAGATGTCCATATGCTCTGTGTGCCCCCAATAGATGTCGATATGCTATGTGTTCCTACAACAGATGTTGATATGCTCCATCTGCCCACAATAGATGTCGATATGCTATGTGTGCCTACAATAGATACTGATATGCTACGTGTGCCACAATAGATGCTGATATGCTACGTGTGCCCACAAAAGAGACCGATATGCTCCGTGTGCCATGATAGATACCGATATGTTACTTGTGCCCGCAATAGATACCAATATGATACATGTGCCCCAATAGATGTCGATATGCTCCGTGTGCCCCCAATAGATGTCGATATGCTATGTGTTCCTACAACAGATGTTGATATGCTCCATGTGCCCACAATAGATGTCGATATGCTCCATGTTCCCACAATAGACGTCGATATGCTCCATGTTCCCACAATAGATGTCGATATGCTCCATGTGCCTACAATAGATACCAATATGCTACGTGTGCCTACAATAGATACCGATATGCTACGTGTACCACAATAGATACCGATATGCTACGTGTGCCTACAATAGATACCGATATGCTACGTGTACCACAATAGATACCGATATGCTACGTGTGCCACAATAGATACCGATATGCTACGTGTGCCTACAATAGATACCGATATGCTACGTGTGCCCCAATAGATGTCAATATGCTCCGTGTGCCCACAATAGGTGTCGATATGCTACGTGTGCCACAATAGATACCGATATGCTACGTGTGCCACAATAGATACCGATATGCTACTTGTGCCTACAATAGATACCGATATGCTATGTGTGCCTACAATAGATGTCAATGAGCACACATTTAACATTAGCCAGGCTGGAATCAGTAACGGAACTACAGCAGGTGCAGCGGGGCCTGCATGCCGGGGGGTCCATCGGGTGACCCATACACTCAGGGCCGACGCAGCATAAGTGGTCAGAGGGGGGGGGGCACAAAATTCTAAATTTCCTACCTTTGGCTTGGGAAATCAAATTAACCAATCACTGCAGCCCACCTCGCTCTCCCTGCAGCCAGCACACAGCAGCATGGCAGTGAGGTCAGCTGGCTCCATCTGATGATGTCAGGAGGACGGCGTGGCTACCACTGCTCTTCTCCCAGACTCTCCAGCGGATCTAACTCCACCTCAAACTCCTATCCTGCTGGACCACCAGGGATAAGGTTTCCCGCTCTGTGGCAAAAGGTAAAACTTTAGTTTTCTTATTTAATCAAAAAGTGTTTTTTTTTTCTTTCTTTTTTTAAAGTAGCCCCTGTGCTCCTCTCTACAGCCCTTCTCAAGCCCCTTGGCCCCCCTCTCCAGTCCCTGTTCCCCCTCTACAGCCACTGTTCCCCCCTCTGGGTCAAAAGAGCTGTCTGCAAGCCAACAAAAACAGATTGCTGATGTGGACCCTATCAGACTCCAATAGTTTCACCTGGTCAGCTGAAATGTCAGGAAGCAGGATGACAAAATACTGGATCATCCAATCTACACCCCTAGCAGCCAGGATGACAACCATGGATATCAGAGGATATAACTGTTGCCAAATCCAGCACCGGCACCGAACCCAGATCATTGCTACCTAGGTGCAGTACTATGCTATGGGGGCCACCCCATCATGCCCCTGCATCCTGTAACATCCTGTGACCCTAATAGATAGCCCCAGTGACCCAGTGAGTGTGGATCATGTAAGAGACAGAGGTAACTTAACACCAGTCTTGGAGGGCAATGATTTCAGATCTCACGGAGTCGAAGATTCCACCAATTTCCGCACAGGAACACTTGGTGATGCCGATATGGTCACTTGATTCAACAGAACCTGAATGCTGCTAGGTCTGCTTACAGCAGGCTGGTCCAAGCTTCTATGGACTTCCAGGCAAACAGAAGACAAAATGGTAGCACCAAGGGCATTGGCCAAGGCAACAACTGGAGGATGCTAAGAAACTAGATGAATGATGGAGGTCTGGCAATGAAGAAGTGGGGGGTGGCGCCGGGGAGAGTAGGAGAGGGGAAAAAAGGAGATGGGAGAATTGTAGGATTATTCCTGGATGCCTGAACCAAGGCAGCCAGGGCTGAGATAGTTGCAAAGCCTCAGCTGGAGGAACATGAGGGGGAGATGAAGCTGGACAGAGGTTGTAGAAATGAAGGAAACTGTAAAGGTAGAAACATGAGACAGGAGTAGTGGGGATAGGTACAGCAGATATATTAGATGGTGAAGGTGTAGAGGGAAACTCTTCAATACTCTGGATCAATCACTGCAGGCCCATGAGATGACACTGGAAAAAAATCCTTGAATCTTCTAGGACACCCCACAGCACACAGAATCTGTTCCATGATGGATAAGTTTCACAAGAGGAGAACTTCAAGGAAGAACAAAATACAAGAATAAAGACAGGAGACAAAGAGGGGACACATAAAGGTCAGTAGGAGACTCCTTCCATGCATTAACCACGTATGTCTTCCTCTTCTGGCCAAGGAGAAGTCCCCTTAATTCCACATTGTTTCCACTAAGGCACAAGGACGGAGGCGCCCAGTTCCAGAATAAAGAGGTGTGGATTTTTTTACATTTAATTTTATTTGACTGATCTCACAAATAAATATTTATAAGCATAATATTAAAATCCAGGGAAGTGACAACAATTCCCCGTTCAGGTGACTTGTATGTAAATCTCTTACATTAAAGAGCCATAAAGAGTATATCACAGTTCTTGTATCTAGTTACTATAAACTCAGATCTCTGACTAATTATTATATATTTCATGTTCTAACATTAATAAATATATATATTGATACGGTCAAGAGAATAATTTGTACCCAATAAATAAAGTGAGTGTTGGGCAAATGTAACTCTAGAGAAATCTCCTACCAGAGGGGTTCTCTAAAAAAGGAATTATATTTATTTTAAAAATGCCAGTGTTTTATTTATTTAATTGATACCGGGCTACAACATCAACAAATTATCTTAATAAAAAACAGCTGTGGTCAGTATGCTGAGTCCTATCAAGGTCGTGAGAAACTCTGACAGCCTGCGTAGCACATCCTCTCTCTATGTATATATATATTTATCATCGTCCTTGTTCAACTATTCCCCAAAGAATTCAAATGTAACCACAAACACTTGGCCGTGTGCCTGTGTGGGACAAATTGCACCACATCTTGTTAGAAGATGATTTATACCGACAGGAACCAAAAAGGCTGAATTTCAAGCATCTCTGCTATGTGTTTGGGGAAGTTGTAAGTCAAGTTTCCCACTGCTTGTCATAAGACGTCGTATTTATGAATTTATCACAAAACAATAATTCCAATAATTCTGTAAATAAAATACAAAACTCTATTAATGATAGCAAAAGGAAGAATGCCATTGGAATTCATGCGATTGAATGATGTCCTCAGAGAGAATACCGGGGTTTAATAATAAGTACGTAACTAAAAGCATAAAATGCAACGTTATGATGGGAGCTTAAAACCAAGATCTCCTGCCATTTCCTATTTGCACGCTTACACTGGATTTGTTTGTTGGTCTGGGAAGCAGGGCATCCATTGCAAGATCTCTTTATCTCACTTAATATTTTATGTTCTTTCCCAAGTGCTGCTGGGAGGATACTCCATGTATGGACTACTCCTGTAACAAAGTATTTTGTGACATTCATTTGTTCCCCTCCCTTTTACCCCTGGTTACATCCTGTAGTCTTGTACTTTGGTGAACTCCTTGCGATATCCCTTCACTTCTGCAAACTCTCTAATTTCTCCATACTCAGTGGGTTTTCAATTTCCTTTAATCTGTCTTATGTTATTATTATAATTAATATAATTTATATAGCATTGATATATTCCATAGTGCTTTACAGTTGTAAAATGTGGCTATTTAACAAGTAATTAACATACTGACTATAATAGAGAGCTGAAGAAGGCTCTGGAGCTTACAATCTTTGAGGATGCAATGTCAGAGAGGGTAGGGATTGATGGATAACATGCCGGTTTTGGAATAAAATAGTCAAAGTGGTTGTGTGGAAGAACCATCCAGTGACAGTAGAGAGAGTGAGCTGGGTTATTGAGGTGAGGGAACTGATGAGGGCAGTGAAGTGAGAGAAACCGCACCAAGGATTTTCTGTAGAGGTGTGTTTTCAGTGACTTCTTAAAGGACTGGGAGAGTCTCATGGCATGGGGTAAGAAATCCCAAAGTAATGGGGCAGCCTTCAAAAAATCATGCAGATAAGAGTTGGGTACATGTTGGGGTAATAGCTGTCCTATTTACATGCAGGGAGAAGGCACTATCTGGGAGAGTTTCACCAGCTGAGCCTCATCTGGCGAAATGCACGTCAGGATCTCACAGTGAATCCCTCACCTCGAATGAGATGACGTTTATGGACACTACTCTACCTAGTTTAAATCTTATTATGGCTGATATGGTGTAAGGAGATCTCTCCCCACAGTGAGAGCACTATTAGTGACTTTTAGTCATAGTGTTTCTACGTTAGTTTAGTAGAAGGAGTAGGATAAGTTTTAGGAGCACTCAGGGTGTGATGTTTGTTGGGGTGTTCTGGTGGGCCTGGTAGCACACAGGGATTTATTTTATCCTGACTATGATACATATCTATGTTTCCAATTTAGTTTGAAGTAGATTTATTGTTGGCAAATTATCAGGCACAATTGCTATTTTTATTGTGGAGAAATTGTATCAGTAAATAAGTTAATACATAAATTGAGTTTTTACACCTAATAATGATAATCTTATAAGACATTTTAAGTATTAATAATAAAAAATACTTTTAAATATTTGTTTTATCTTTCACTACCTACATACTTATTTGTAACAATGGGGTTACCCCCCTTCTTTCTGTTTCTTAGTGATTTGTGGATTAGCTCAATTTCTTTATCTATGTAAAGAGTTCAAACGTAGACCAAATGTACTGAAACCAGATGTAGCGTGGCCGAACGTAGACCAAATGTACTGAAAGTGCTGTGAATATGTGTCAGGATGTACAATGACCCAACACACAGTGTCTAAGTTAAATATATATTTTGTAAACTTAGAGTGGCCGGACTACCTAAAAAAAAATAGTCAAGAACAAGCCAAGGTCAAAAAAAAGCACAAGACAAAAGCACTCTCTGATTACTATTAAATGAAAACCATGACGGGGCAATTATAAGAACCTAAAATGAGTTCAAATAGTTCTAGGAGGGCAGGTATTGGCCAGAAAAGACCTTGTGACACCAAAACGTACGTGCGTGTTGATGACACACGCACGTTTGCATTAATGTTGTCATAATCGAGGCGGAGTTATAAATGAGTTTCACAGTGCAGCGGTCTTCCAAACGCCACTTTGGCATGAAGCCCCAAGCAAGGCAGACCAGATCGGAATCTGACATGAAGTGGGTCTCTCCACATGGCCCAAACTTTCACACCAAATCTAGCGCTATGACAATATGTAGCATAGCCGAACGTAGGCTGAAAGTACATAAACACAGGGAATATGTAGCATGGCCAAACGAAGGCCAAATGTATTGAAAATT